TATATAACTTGAAGACTTGATTTTAAAACCTAAGAAACAGATTGAATGAAATTTTAGCAACATGCATAATAGTGTCTTACTACCCTAAGTAATAATAAGTGCTACTCCAAATCATAAGAACATGGATACAAAACTCAATAGAAAAATGGGTACAAGAAATAGGTAAGTTACAGAAAAAGAAAACATGAAAAGATGTTCAATATACTAAGCATTTGAAAAACATTAAAAAAAGAAATGTTCATCCTCCTTTTCTTTTGAGAGGTAATCTACAGTATGTTTAAGAATATGGATTCTAAAGCCAGTCTTCCAGGGTTTGAACCTCATTTCTAACATTTTCTAAACTGTGTAACCTCAAGCAATTTATAAATTTCTCTGTGTCTCAGTTTTCTTTTCTTCAGTATGGGGTAATGACAGTAACTTTCTCATAGGGCTGTTACAATAATTAAACCAAGTTAGTTTACATAAAATACTTAGAATAGTGTCTGGCATGGAGTAAATACCAAATGAGTGTTTATTATTACTATTCCTTCAACATGTTGATAAAATGAAAAAAGTTATTTGGAAGATAAAGGAAACTGCAATATGTTGGTGGGAAAGGAAATGAGTGTAACTTTTTCGAAGGACTTGATAATGTGTATACTCTCTACTAAGCAGTTCTATTTCTGAAATCTTACCTAGACACATAGGTACAGAAGGGTACATGTTCAAAAACATTCATTATATCCCTCTTTTCTATCAAAAAGGAAAACAATTTAAATATCCCCAGGAGGGGTGCCTTATACCCCTTACATTGTACTCATTAGGTGTTTCTAAAAATAGTAGAAAACTTCTTCATGCTTTTCATGAAGATGAAAAAGCCTGTTTCACAAAGTTTAAAAAGGTCTATTAATTCCTAATTTTAATAATTTGTAAATGTTAGAATTTTTTGCATCTATGAACATAATACTGTGACTATGTTATTTCTTTGTGTGAAATAATAAACTTATCAGTGGACTACCTATTATTAAATTTCTAAAGAACTCTAGACACCTCCAAAATCACTCTAGAATTCAATATTATATAACATATAATAAATGCATTTTGTCATTATATACTCTTTTTAATAATCAATTACAATTTGTTTGCTATTATTTTACATGTTTCTATGTGTAGGCAGAGATGAGATTTTTCTAGAATAGCCTTATTTTGTAAAACATTTGAGAGTTTTGGTACCAATGTTCCATTTGATTTCCATAATTTATCTGGTAGTAGTACTTCCATTAGAGTGTGGTGAAAATGAATTAGAAGCATTGATGTATGTGATATAATTTAAAATGACTATGAAATCCCTCTGTTAAACTACTTGATCTTGAATCTTCATTTGTGGGAGTTTCTTTTGTAAACTTTTCTGTTCCTATGGATATTATATTGTTTAGGCTTTGTATCTAGACAGATGTCTATATTGATGAAGAATATTTTTCTAGAAAATATCCATAATGTCATTTTCCAAATCAATGCATGATTATGCTAATTAATTCTTAATGATTTTAATATAATTTTATATCATAGTCAATATTCCATATCTTAAAAAAAGGAACACATGGGCAGCAGCGCCTGTGGCTCAAAGAAGTAGAGCGCTAGCCCATATACTGGAGGTGGTGGGTTCAAACTCAACCCTGGCTAAAAAATGCCAAAAAAAAAAAAAAAAAAAGGAACATATTCTAAGCATATTAATATTGTAACTGTTAAAAAGAATGATGTAGGCTTGGCGCCTGTGGCTCAAGCGGCTAGGGCGCCAGCCACATACACCTAAGGTGGCAGGTTCGAATCCAGCCCAGGCCCGCCAAACAGCAATGACGGCTGCCGGGCGTTGTGGCGGGCGCCTGTGGTCCCAGCTACTTGGGAGGCTGAGGCAGTAGACTCGCTTAAGCCCAGGTGTTTGAGGTTGCTGTGAGCTGTGATGCCACGGCACTCTACCCAGGGGGAAAAGCTTGAGGCTCTGTCTCAAAAAAATTAAAAAAATAAATAATAAAAAAAAAAGAATGATGTAGGGTGGCACCCATAGCTCAGTGGGTAGGGGGCCAGCCACATGCATTGAGGCTGGTGGGTTCTAACCTGGCCTGGACCAGCTAAAATAATGACAACTGCAAGAAAAAAATAGCCGGGCACTGTGGTGGGTGCCAATAGTCCCAGCAACTAGGGAGTCTGAGGCAAGAGAATCACTAGGGAGTCTGAAGCAAGAGAATCACTTAAGTCCAAGAGTTAGAGGTTGTTGTGAGCTGTGACGCTACAGTACTCTACAGAGGGTGACAGTGAGACTCTGTCTCCAAAAAAAAAAAAGAATAATGTAGATCGACATGTACTGATGTGTAGAGTATGACATATTTACAATAATAAGTCATAGAATAAATGTATAATATGATCTCATAAATATAAAAACATGCAAAACATATATGTGAATGAATTTACATACAGATATTTAAAGAGGCCTACTATTAATGAGGATATTTAACATGGGGAGACGGGGAAGATGAAGAGTTTTTAGTATTTTACTCTCTACTTACACTACATATATTAAAAGCTCCCCCTGCCAAACAAAGAAAGATGTGCATTTTACTTAACGATTTAAAAACTACAAAAACAAAAACGAAAACAAGGGGAAGGGAGGATACTTAGTAGGGCTACTTAGAAACTAGAGTTTCTTTAGATTGAATATAAGATTATAAATGTTTTGTTATTTAAATTTAGACAGGACATACCATTTTGGAAGTAGCAGTCTGACTTCAGCAATTGATACATATGATCCAAGAAAACCAGAGGTCTTCAGAAAATACTGTCTCACACCTAAAAGAGTACTAATTAAAACAACTCAGCTGATTAATATCTTGCACCTTAGCTGTATTTATCTGAGTGTTCAGATAACTTAAAGGCAAGATAGGTTTTTAAAAATGTTTTTTAATTATTCAAACTTTACTGAATGAATTCTTCTACAAGAAGAATAAAGTTTTTGAAAAATTTCTGTACAGGAAGCCTCTGTAACTCAAATGCGTTTGAAAAATAATATTTTATTTTATTGAGGCTTATTTAGGAAATACTTTGAATTGCTGGGATGATGGAAATTATAGAATAACAGGAAACCAAGGAAAAATATAAGAAAAAAAACATCAGTTTTTTATGCTTCTTTTAAACCAAAGAGGTATAAAAGATCATTAACACAAATTACACTGCAAATTTCACAGAGCACCCCCCCTTTTTTTTTGAGACATAGTTTCATTTTGTTGCCCTTGGTACAGTGCCATGGCATCATAGCTTACAGCAGCCTCAAACTCCTGGGCTCAAGAGATCCCCCTGTCTCAGCCTCCCAAGTAGATGGGACTACAGGCATCCACCACAATGCCTAACTAATTTTTAATTCTTTCTTCTTCTTCTTGTTTTTTTTTTTTTTTAGTAGAGATAGGGGGCTTGCTCTTGCTCAGGTTGGTCTCCTGAGCTCAAGGGATCCTCACAGAATGTTAGGATTACAGGTGTGAACTACCATACCTGGCCCACAGAACACCTTTAATATGATTCAGGAAGAGCTGATAAAGTATTAGTGCCTCATCAAGTCAATATGGGGGACAGGTCTTTCATCTTTAAAATAACGACAGCAATTTTATGCCTGGAAAATCTATGATTTTTATTTCTATTAGGCAGATAACTGAAAATCATGTCACTTACTAAAATTAAACAAATAAAATAAAAGTATCAAATATACGAAGCAGACTTCAGTTCAAATACATGCTCCACTCCTTACTAGCTATGTGACCCTGAGTAAGTTTCTTTATGCCTCAGTCCCTCATCTGCAAAATGACAATAATAATAGTATCTAGGGTTGTCATATAACATGAGAGATTACATTTAAAATGCCTGGCACAAAGTAAGCACTCAATAAATACTGGTGATGGCAATGATATGCTGAGACAATAAGCACTATTTCCAAAATTTTAAATATTTTGAAGACAAAAAGTATCAAAAGTGTGTCAGTGCACAATCAACAATTTTAGAAGGATGTTATCCTTAGTGAGCTATATATCTGAGTTTTGCTCAAGCTAGTAGTCCTAATTTTTGAAATCCAGGCTTCCTTTTCATTACATATCTTCTAGATTTAACTGCAAACCAGTAAGACCAATTCTATATGCTGTACATACATACAGAATAACATAACAGTGAAGATCATGGATTCTGGAGGCAAACTACCTGAGTTCAAATACCATTTTTGCTATTTACTAGCTGTATGATCTTGGGCAAGATTACTTAACCTCTCTGTGCCTCAGATTCTTCATCTATAAAATGGGGATAATAAAAATATTTATTATATAAATATTCTTCATTTTAAGAATAAATAAGAAGTGTATATGAAGCATCCCATACAATTCTCAAGAACCTTTAGCTATCATTATCATTCCTCATAGTCACTCTACCAAAAAAACAAAGAAAGCACATACGTCTGACCACAAGAACTTGATTCTATAGAAACAGCACAACTAATTCTTAAATTAGTTTTGACAAACTGACAACTATACGATTCTTAAACTGGTTGGGTATTTGAACCAATATTGGGTATATTGCCTTAATGTGAACAAGACAATTTTGTATTGACTCTTTCCCATTGTCACTGATGTAAACTTAGAAAAGACCAAACTTCCTTATCAAAATCCACTCTAAAATTGCTTTATCTGTTTGTTTTTGAGATAGAGTTGCATTTTGTTGCCCTCAGTAGAGTGCTGTGATGTCATAGCTCACAGCAACCTCAAACTCTTGGACTCAACTGATCCTCTTGCCTCAACCTCCCAAGTAGCTGGGACTACAGTAACCCGTCACAATGCCTGGCTACTCTATAGAGATGGGGTCTCGCTCTTGCTGAGACTGGTGTTGAACTTTTGAGTTCCAGCAATTCACTGCCTTGGCCTCTTGGAGTGCTAGGATTACAGGCTTGAGCCACCAGCCCTGCATTATCTGTTTTAAGCAAGTTAACTTCCTACCTGTCATCTGTACTGCGAAGGGATGGAAGCCGAAAACTCGTGTTTCTGTCAAGTTTTGACTGGCTTTTGGTCCTCTTGATGGAGCCTTTCAGGCGCTTGCTGAAGAATCCCTAGAATGAAAAGGCAGAGAGTGATGGAAGAGAGAACCAAAAGGGAACCTTATCCTTGACTATACTTGCAAAAGGTGTTTAGATTTTTGTAACATGGACTACAAATAGAATCTAGCTTGTAACTTTTTTTTTTTGGTAGGGACAGAGTTTCATTTTATCGCCCTCAGTAGAGTGTGCTGTGGCATCACACAGCTCACAGCAACCTCCAACTTCTGGGCTTAGGCAATTCTCTTGCCTCAGCCTCCCGAGTAGCTGGGACCACAGGCGCTCGCCACAGCGCCCAGCTATAACTTTTTTTATTGTGTAATAATAGTTGCTGGAAACCATTTGGTAATATAATGAGAAAATTCCTTTCTTTTATGATAACTGAGATAATTAAACTTCTGTTTACACTTAATTTCTTATTTCTTAAATAGTAGAGAAGCTTCTAACTATACTAACAAATTTTTGAAAGCACAAAAATATACACAAATATATTCCTTTCTATGAAGATGATGTCAGCAATTTCAATATAAACAGCATCCAATGGTTTCCTAAATTAAGGGAAAGTAGGAAAAGATAATGTCATGTGCAAAGGCCCTGAGATAAGAACATATTTGGCATGTTAAAGAAATGAAAGATACTAATGGTGAGAAGAGAAGAAACTATTCTAAGATCTGCAAAAAAATAAGTTAATTAGTCATAAAATTGATCTATGTCATCTTAAATAAGGTAGCATGAAGTTAAGTTTAGGTGTAGTTAAACTATTTTCAAATGAAGTATGGTTCATTCATGAAATCATTAAAGCATATAGACTTTAAAGAACAAAGTGCTTTACAGTCTTAAGCTCTTGGTTGCCTCCTACCACCTTCATCAAACTATCTAGAGTTCCCTGAATATCTCCCCAAACTCTGTACCTGCCAAATAATGAACACTCAATAAAAGTCTGCTGACTAAAAGAATAAATACAAGAATGAGAAACTTACAATTATATTATTGGCAGACGAAAGAAATGACGTCTTATATAAGTATATTAAAAAGACTATAATTCACGATCCCACAATCCCATTATGAGGCACCTACCCAAAAGAGGAAAAATCATTTTATCATAAGGACATTTGCAGTAGATTATTTATCACAGCTCAACTTACAATTGCTAAGATGTGGAGACAACCTAAATGCCCATCAACCTAGGAATGAATGAATAAACTGTGGTATATGTATACCATGGAATACTATTCAGCCATAAAAAGATGAAGACTTTACATCTTTTGTATTAACCTGGATGGAGATGAAGTATGTTCTTCTTAGTAAAGTATCACAAGAACAGAAAAGCAAATATCCAATGTACTCAATACTAATATGAAGTCAACAGACAATCTAATCCATGCCCACGTAAGAGAAAAACTCGATTCAATTCAAGTTAGGGGAAGAGGGAATGAAGGAGTGAGGGAAGGACTGGCGTGTTCCCACTTAATGGGCACAAAGTAAGGGTATATGGCACACCTTTTGGGTGCAGGACACAACTACAAGGTGGACTCTGCCTAACAAATGCAAATATTTATAACCTAATTGTACCTTCACATTAACTGAAATAAAAAAAAAATAAAATGACTGTAATTCAAAGAAAATATTTTCACACATGCAAAATGATTATTCCTTTGTATGATATTCATCTCATGTAAGTTGTGTACAATAAACATTTCCATAAAAAGGGAAAAAACATATTGGGCCAATATTAGCACATTGAATATTTTCTATTCCTTTAGTTACCACCAAAGCCCACTGTCTTGGGGTGAAGACTATATTAATCAGGTTAAGCTAAGTTATATTTATCTAATAACCCCCACAATCCCAGTGGTATAAAACTTGTACATGCCCCTGAGCAGGTCAACTGAGGGGCTGGGGTCCTGTCTTTGTTGTCCTTACCCAGGGACCTGGGCTAAGGAAGGACTCTTCTCTGTGCTTCTGCAGGTGCAGCAGGAGGATAAGGGTAATACAGTAAATTATGCAAATGTACTAGTTCTGAAAGCATCATGTTACTTCTAGTCTCATTTAAGTGGACAAATAAGTCATATGACCACACCTAACTTCAATGGGAAAGGGCTATGTAATTCTAACACATATCCAGAAAGACAACTGAAAATGGTGAACAGTAGCATGGATTGCCACAGTGGTTTACCAAGTGTGTTTTTTAAACACATAGGCATTGCTCCTTTCATAAAGAAAAATGGAAGCAAACCTATCTGAATCACTAAAGTAGAACTATTTAGATAACTACAGAAATATTATTTATATCTTCTTGCTTTTACTGTTCGAAGGATTAATTGAAAACTCCAAGAAAATAGGTGTATAGAGATTGTCTGGAGGGAAGAGAAAAAGACGATTTTTAAAGGTACTATATTTCACAGAGATCAGCATTTGCCTTTTCACAGCTGACCTTTGAGTAACAAGGGTTTGAAATGTGTGGGCTGATTTGTATGCAGTTTTTTTTTTCCCAATAAATATATTGGAAATTTTTTTTGAGAGTTGCAATAATTAAAAAAAAAAACCAAACAAACTCACAGATGAACTGTGTAGCCCAGCCAGGAAATAATCAGAAAAATTAAAAAGATATGTCATGAATGTGCAAAATATATGTAGATACTAGTGTATTTTATCATTTACTACCATAAAATATACACCAATTTTTTATAAAAAGTTAAAATGACATTCACAATCTAGAAATGTAAACAAATGTAAACAATGAAGCATTAAATCACAGCTGCATTTAAAAGTAACTATAGTACATTTTGTACTATTAGGATAATTTTGTGACCACCTCTTCGTGCTGTTGGAATGAGCTCAAGCATTATATCTGCTTAAAACACTGTGTGATGCTAATCATCTCCACATGAGCAGTTTGTTTCTCCAGAAAATTGTTCATCATAGTAAAAAGTGATCTCCTGTGGTTCTTGTATCATAGTAAAAGTGATCTCTTGTGGTTCTTCTATGTAAACTTTGAACAACATCATGGGACCCAAACGGAGTACTATTAATGATGCTGGAAACACTCCCCCAAAGCAGAGAAAAGTTATGACATTACAAGAAAAAGTTGAATTGCTTGATATGTACCATAGATTGAGGTCATACCATTGCAGCTATGGTTACCAGCCATTTAAGATAAATGAATCTAGCATAAGAAATATTAAGACAGAAGAGAAAATTCATGAAACTGTCACTGCAGCTACTCCAACAGGCAACCTTGTATTTTTTACAAAATACTATGTTTTTTAATCTTGAATTGAAAATGCAGCTTTTATGTGG